GCTTTCCCAGTGAAAGTACAAGCACCTGTGCCCCCACGACGGAACACATTCTGCTCATTGGACCAGCTCAAGCATAACCGGCTGACTGATTTACTCACAAAGTTTCTCCCGAGTTTCCGCTTGGAACACACGCACCAGCCAGTGAGCCAGTCTTGTCAGTCAGTCATTCACATCGTTGATGTATGCATTGACTGCTTGGACGACGTCGTACCTATTCTGCACTGCTGTCTGTTATGTCGTTTCCCNCCCGGCCCAAAACTCCGACTCGTTCTACTTGAAATGGCCACTTTCTCTTCCCAGTTCCTCTGAGAAAGGACATCTAAATAGTTTCGTTTGATAATGATCTGGGCGGAGCCCCCCACTGTTTTCTATTATTACAACAGCCCCAAAGATCCAGAACGAACGTGAGGAGGTTCATCGTCGAGTTGTCTTGTCGTCGTTTTCGCCTGATGAGATCCTCCTCACACACACACAAATGCACCCCATCGACTAGAGCCGCTTGTTTCTCAGATCACAGCTGTTCCTGAGCTATTGTTTCCCAACTGCTGCCACCTAATTCTATTTTTTAATTGGTTTCTGTCTTACAGCATCTAAACCACATGGTTATATACATATGTGTAGAGGAATCATTGGGAAACCAACCCAACGCCTTCGTTAAGCAACTCGAAACTCATTCTCTTGGACGAGTTTTCTCCACAATTTGAAAAGCGTTTTTTGTGATTTGCCGAGAAATCTATTCAATTGTATCTTACTTAAATGCTTTCATACTGTTAAGAAGTTTCATCTGTGGATTCCCATCCAATCTAACGAAACAACGTCGTTCACAACGGTGGAAACGCGGTGTTCAACCGATCGAATAGTCGACCAATGACGTCATCTTTACTATATTTTATAATTTACTCAATCCACTGAGAGAGCCAGCCATAATGAAGGATCAAACGATGACGATGACAAGTCCAATGAAGGATCCGTCAAGGCTAAAACACAAACCTTCCATCTCTTCACAACGTTATCTTGTTGAAGCTTCACGACGTCAAATACTTAGTGCTCAAGCGCTTACGGTAAGCATCAGCTTCTTCCTGGATAATTACCTTTTTGGCGGTTGGCTGTTTTGTGTACTACCATGTGATATTTTTTACCTGATATTTTTATNTTTCTGATTTTTTTTTGCTAAATATACGGTCCAATTCACTTCGAAACGGACGTTTCTTTATCGTTCAGAGTGTGCTTTTACTGTTTATACTCTATTTTATTCTGGAAACTTCTGTGAAAATCTCCCAATTCAGTATGACTTCACCGACCGTCTTCAGTAGATGTTAGCGGATGTAGCGCGAGCAATATTCTTGCAGTTTTGATTTTTTTTCAATGGTTTTTGAAGCCCGTCTCAGACTTCAGACTAAGTAGGTCAATATGTTCCTTGCAATGTTCACCTATTAACTCATCCACAGTCAAAAGTACACAAAACACGCGACGCGTACGCACCACATGGCTTAATAGTTCCTAATCCATGTTGTAAAAGAATTTTTTTGAATGGAATTCAAGAAATGACTTCTCAAAATTGCTTCCAATTTTTTTCTGAAGTGACCTGCTCGGAGCATGAGCGCTGGATCCCCATGACGTCCCTAATGTTTTTACTTAACAAAAAACTAAAAAGAAATATTTTAAATAAGTGCAGTGGTGAGATAGTGCTAGGTCTCGATGCTGCCACAGCGCAGGAATGGTCTCGGATCGATATCCGTCCAAATCGACCAAACCTTGCATCCCGTCGAAGTCCATTAATTAGTATCACATTTGTAAAAGAGGATAAAAGAATTGATTTCTTCATCAGCTGGCCCTCATAAGCCTTTGCATAGGGCGAGTATCCATTGAAACACCATCACGATAATGAGTTGAAGTCAAATGCATGGGTACACCTCACAAATGGTAGTGATCATCAAAAAGATCTTCAAAAATTGAGCGTCCAAGTGCGCAAAATCTGCTGCTGTCGATTTTCTTGAATCAAATTTTCCCTATTTTCTATGAATTTTCTCATTTCAACCGATTCTTCTCTCTCGGCCTGAGCCTTCCTTTTTGCTTCCCACATGCTCTTCATTCTTTTCTTCGAAGCCTCTTGATCATTATGTTCTGGGATGCTTCTCAAAGCACGGAACTAATCAATAATTATAGCTGCCATTCTGCAAAATTGCTACCGTCAAAGCTCATCGATCCAATCAAAAGCTTACTGTTGGTTCAGCCTTGAATCAGTTGTTTGATGATAAAGTGCTTCTTCCTTTCCACGGCGTCAATCCCACTCAGTCTCAAAGTCCGCTGAGTTGCCAATGATTTAGTACCGCTGTGAATTTGATAAATGATGACGGATTTGTTTTTCGCTTTTTTTTNTTTTTGAATGGAATTCAAGAAATGACTTCTCAAAATTGTTTCCAAATTTGTTCCTAAAGTAACCCTCCTCGGAGCATTACCACGGGATCGCCATGACGTCCCTAATGTCTTTACTTAACAAAAAACTAAAAAGAAATATTTTAAATANTCGGCCTGAGCCTTCCTTTTTGCTTCCCACATGCTCTTCATTCTTTTCTTCGAAGCCTCTTGATCATTATGTTCTGGGATGCTTCTCAAAGCACGGAACTAATCAATAATTATAGCTGCCATTCTGCAAAATTGCTACCGTCAAAGCTCATCGATCCAATCAAAAGCTTACTGTTGGTTCAGCCTTGAATCAGTTGTTTGATGATAAAGTGCTTCTTCCTTTCCACGGCGTCAATCCCACTCAGTCTCAAAGTCCGCTGAGTTGCCAATGATTTAGTACCGCTGTGAATTTGATAAATGATGACGGATTTGTTTTTCGCTTTTTTTTTCTTTTCGATCTGGTCCCTTACGTGACTGCATTTTTGCGGACGTTAATCGTTGCTGGCTATTTGTCATGGACACTCATTTATCCTACATATTTGCTTCATTTAAATGTTCTCAATGAAAAAATCGTGGTATGTTGGCTACAAAAATATCCCCCATACAAGTTGTCCCCGAACGGATATTTGTGGACATTACAAAGTAACAAAAAATGTAGTCTTCGGCTACCAGTGCATTTATCTGAGTGAAAAATATTAAGTAAGATTGTAACTACAAAAACTGGTCTTGATTGAACTGAGTTTATTTTTTTCAAAGGTTTTTCCTTTTTGAAGCCGTTCTCATGAACATTGGGTCTTCTGGTTAGAAGCGGTGATGTAATCAATGATTTACATGCTACAAAACTTCTAATCATCCACGCTATTGCGACTGGCGAACGGATTCATGGCGTATTCTTTTAATTCACATTAAGTAATAAGCGGTAGATTCTTCAGGTGATTTGCAGCCCGCCGCATCCTTTAGTACCCGGTACCTGATTATTTCTGGAATATAAATATCTATCAAAAGATATAAAAAATATACCCGAAAATAATAAATGAACATATCAATATAATAATAATGTAAATCAAATTGATATTATAAGAAAATATTGGGTTAACTGCGTAATAATTTTTATTAATTTCTAAAAAATACTGAAATTCACTGATGTTGATTTTTATTAAATGTAAAAAAGAAAGGTGATTTTTCATTAATTGTAGAAGGAAAACCCACTCACACCTTGATTTTGTTTAAGATAACATATTGCTGATGTGCAAGTCAGTTTCTATTACGGACGGATGTGGTAACGCACTATCACACACGTACGGTCAAGGGATCGAATCCTGGGTCGATATTCGCCCTAGTCGGCCAAGCCTTCCATCCCTCTGAGGTCGCCTAACTGGTACCAGGCTCGTCTGCGAGTATAAATGCACTGACTTGTATGTCGACCGGTCTTGGCAGCTTAGGCTGTATAGGCCTCAACCGCATTCAATCGGCTTCTGGATTCTGAATGGGAGTTGAATGCGGGGCGCATTCCTCAGAAACGGGATTGGTTAAAGCCAGCTCCGTGAGATATTGCATAATTGCGTAAGGCTTCTAGAATTTCAATAAATATCCAATTCATGACGTATCATTTTGGGAAGCTGTGATTTAAGCAAATCGAGGATTCCAGTAATAGTTTCCTCCGACGACTTTGAGTTCCACCTTCCCGTAAACGGATACTTCATTGTCGGCATTTGTTTATTTGTTTACTTTCATTATTTGTTATTCTTTGGTTTCAGATTATAGTCAAACGATACGACTTTTAAATATTACCGTAATAGCCTTGCGATGCTACCGTAGTATGTTTTCCACACTTCAATCGTTGATACGATTTTTAAATATTACAGTCCAAATATAAAATAATATCGGAATCGAAGCGCTTCAGTGCCCTTTGCATCAGCTGTTACATTCCAAAGTGCTTCTCGATGTTCAGCTACTCTCGGAAGAAATATGGCGTTGTTTTGATAGTTTTCTTTTGGCTATTACCAGCCGTCTACGATTTTTCACGGCAATAAGCGCTGTTTCCGATACTCTGTACTGTCTACTCTTTTCTCCAGAAAAACCTACCTCTCCTTGCTGAAGGCTCTCTTCTGGGAAGCCTCCCCCGCATGCTGACGGCACCGCCAACGATATTGCATTTTGACGAGGAGTTGGCTTCTTACTTATGAGCGCTGAGTGCCATTACTACCTTCCCTCTTTCCGACTTCTCATTCCAGCTTCTCATTATCATAATCGATCTGATCGATAGCCGATTCCTTCTGAATATGTTGAATAGGGCGATTTGTTATTCGACGGCTTGCCTAGCAACGTTTTCAAGTCGTTCATTCCGTCTATTCAACACACAGTGTGTCGGCGCGTCGTCGACGTGCAGCAGCAGCAGCCAGCGGCCAGCAGCCAGCAGCGGTCTCGAATCTCAGTAGTCTCAGCCATCACATATTCTATACGGCTGTGTGTGTGTGTGGATGTATCGGCGCTGATAACTGATTCCACGAATCTCGTCCGGTCGTGCGGTCGTCGATATTCCAACGACCAACTTCGTTACAACTTCCAATTCCACAATCCATCCAGATGGCCAGATGGAGATCAACTCCTACGAGATAGCACAGCATCAACGACAATTTACGACCGCCGCAGATAAATCACCTACTCGTCGTGTTATATGCAGATCTCCCATACGTTATGTAGATGACAATACTGCCGCATCGACCCCTGTGAACTGTGGTGGACGTCGATGGGCAAATGGGTCTATTCGTGACTGGACATCTAGTGATATTGTAGCAGCCGTGTCACCAGTTCGATCACTAAGCGTCGAATCTCATAATGACCTTCGGAAAAAGGCTCGAAAATTGCCATCCAAGGATATCGCTCAAGTGGTTGGTGGTTTATTCAGGAATTTGCCTATTTCCTCTCGAATTTTTTTGTAAAATTTTCCATGAAGTGTTTTTTCTGAGATTTCATGTCCCAAAGGGGCCCTCGGACAGCGAAATCCGCTCAGTGAGGAGAATATTTATCATTTTTCAATTCTTTATATATTTTTTAGTGTTTACTGATTAGATTGCATAAATAACAGCAATGATCCGAATGCTCAGTCAATGGAATCGATTTCCGATTTCCGTTTTCCGGGCAAATTTCGTATATATCCGAAGCCTCCTCTTAGTGAGCTCCTTTCTCGTTTTCATAGGAATTTAGAGATTCCCTTTGGTTCAACAAAATCAAGAAAATGCTGCGTTACCAAGTACAACCTTTCGTGGGAATTCGGAGTATCCGACAAAGAAATCACTTATTTCCTGAATGGGTGATTCTCATGAAAGTACATATGGGCTTGTCTTAGTTGCTCTAAGGAGAAGGTACTTCCGTAATGACATCATACTAGATGGGTGGATGGAGAATGGGTGAAAACAAAGACAAATCAAGGATTTTTTGTATAATTTTCCTTAACTGAGGGTTAACCAAATGGGTAAACTCTTGCCTACACACCTGAATGCTTAGGAATCCCCTCTTTCCGTGCATCACAAATTGATTGTTTCGTCTGCGAGGGAATCATAATTTTTTGTCGACGCTCATAAAAATCCTCCTCGGCGCTGCTATTCCTTCTTTGTCGATTCCTTTCCATGAGAGTTTGAAGTCACATTCTGTGATCTAATGTTCCCGGTGGGGAGACCACGAAGTAACCCTTCTACTCTCTAAAAAAATCCCAACTCTGACCTTTTGTGCCCATGGTTTGGTGAATAGACTTGTTGCAAAGTTCCTGAATTACCTACAGTACCCGAATGCTTCTTGCTATCAGTTGGGGATTTTTTTCCTGCGAAAAAACTCAGGAGGACTCTACGATTCTCTTTTTTTTCACTTCCCTCTCATTGCTTTTAATCATGGTAGATCCTTGATTCATTCGTTCCCTCATGGGGAACCCATTGCCAACTTCCTTTTCGAATCATCGCCTTCCCCCTCTTCATCATGACTTCATTCTTACTAGTAGAAAAATCGATTCGTGAGGATATTCACTAATTATCACAATGGCACACAATCTCCTTTTAATTATCAAACGTACCATTTCGTGTTGTCCCAATTGATTTTCAAGAGCTGTTCTCATGTCTGTGGGCATTGATTGTCGTTACCTAGAATCCTATTGTAATATGTACCTAAGCAGTTACTGAGAAGGAGCTCAGTTGAAGCGAACGAAAGTCTTGGGCTACGTAGATCTGCCGGGTTCTTTTGGGAGTTTGAAGTTTATTCTTGGGAAATCACCACGAAACTGCTGCTCCACCACATTTTCGTTTTTTTTTTCGAATATTTTCACGCCATCGTATTCTATTCTGCAGCCAATTTAAGACCTAAAACCGTTTCCTAGGTGATTGAATAAGTGCTAAGTAGGCCATGCAATAATTGTTCGTTTGTGTAGAGCACAAGGTAGTCTCTCCTAAATAATCTTCCCGAATGGCGACGAAATCACAGTTGAAATTAGTAAAATCAAAATAATTCTCGAAAATTTGGTGATTTTTTTCTAAATCCCTACATTTTTCAATCTTTTCAGAACTTACAGGTAAGTGAAATAAGGTAAATTTACGAGGTCTGGTCCCGTATCGGTATCGAGAAATGGCTTTCTCTAGGGAGCTTGCATCTGTGGATCCTAGGCCTTTGAAACCAGGAAAAGCCGATTTTGTTGGAATTTTGAATTTTTGCACTTTGAAAAATTTTAGAACTTCTTATTGTTCAGGTTTTTTGTACTAGTTGCTTGGTTGTTCTGCTCCTAACCACTCGAAAAGTTCACTCGTGCGTAGTCGAACTTGTAATGTACCGATAGAAGTCGTTCAAAGCTAAGAACTTCATCGGTTCCCATTTGAAGTGTGGGTGATACGGGGCACCAAGCCATACTTACATGCATTTTTGATGTGACACAAGGCTTCCGTCCATGAAAAATTATCTCTATTCAGCAGCCCAACTTGGGAAAAGCCAAATAGATCATTTTCGAAAGCAATGCTTACGATATTGGTACCGTAGATCAGTCTCGTTCAGCTTTCGCATAGGTCCTTAGCGTACTTCGCAGTTAAGTGCATGTCCAGGTCATGGCGCATATCAGGATGATCGACCATTCGGCATTCTTTCTGTAGATCACATATGATCAGCAGAGAGTGCAGATTTGAAGCTTCACTCAAGAAATTTCGATTTTATTGGATTTTCAATTGGATTTTCCTGAATTTCCTGGTTCGGAGTCTTTTCGATGTTTTTTGAAAAGAGCTTGGGAAAGGGGCTATTCAGTGAAGTTGCTGGAAATGCTTGCTTATTCTGGCCTCCGTTCAAAATCCGTCTATTGAAATATAATGAAAAAGGGCTCTAGAATTCCGATGGAACAATACCTCATTCTGAGCCAAAGGGGACCACTTGTGACTATGCATCCGCCTTTCCATCAAATCTGATAGATCCCTTTTCCAATTTGCTTTGAAATTGTGGAGGTGTCTGAAGGTGCTTATCGGTGTCTTGGTGATCAGAACCATGGAGCAGAAATTGGTGCTGGAGCATTGTTTCCTCCACTGGCTTGGATGGTTCGAATCCGTCCAGTCACTCCTTTGCAGAATCGGATATCCTTCCCAGAAGGGTAGGAACCGCATACATCTCTTAAGTTCCTGGAGCAGGAATGCCCATCAGGTGGCAAGCAATTGGGGCATAGATATTGTGCTCTAGCTCCATTTTTTGCTCCACGGTAACTCCAATTTAACTATTTATTCATTCATTATAATAGAATAAATGTCCACATGTTGGCACTAGGTTTCGGGCAATTACAGACCATGAGAGGGAAATCTTGGGTAACAGGAACTGAAATTGGACTGGGAGGTCAATGTAGGGCAGAAATAAACATGACAACAACGTGAAGTTTCTATTGCCTATCTGCTTAATTTTTCTTTTTTTCATTATTTGACAATTTTACAGTTTTGCATTAATTTTTACTAATTTTTTGCCTGGAATTTTTGTTGTTTTTTCGAATGCTAACACAAGTTCGTCCTAAACTTTCCCTCGCCGCCTTCCCCGAGCCCACAGAAATTTCCAGGAAAACTGCTCTCTTAAAATTCCCCCTAGAGATTTTAGAGCGAATTTGACTAATATTTTGAATTTTGTAGCAGATTCATTAGTTTGATTGTTTATGTTTTTTTGATTCTGTTTTTTAAATTTTTTCTGATTTTTTTCCAAGTTTTCGATGTTATGTAGCCGAAAGTCTATAAGTTCCCTTATCTAAATGATCGTACAAAGGCACTCTTTATCATGAATAGAACTTGAGAAAAGGAGTTTTTTTTTTCTTTATTGTTTTTTATCATCTTCCGTTGTGAACGGCTTTTATTTTATTTGATCTTGGATTACTTTTAAAAAAATGTGAAAAAAATGGTTTCTAGTGCCAAAGGACAGTGTTATTACATATAACTGCGTTTTTTCTACTACATATGTCTCTATCTACACCGTCATACTGTGTTGTAATTGATGTTACAAAGGGTAAAAGCGCTAGAAGTGATTGTTCTTGTTTCAGTACGCGCCATGCACTTGCGCCTGAACTGAACTTGTTGTGGGCAGGCAAGTGGGGCTGTGCCGGATAGGGTTCGGTTTAAGGTTTTGGATGGGATTTCGGCAGTTAGGTAAAGTGTGGTGGTGGGTGGTGCAGTGTCAGACATGCATGGTCACGGGATCCCGGATCACAGGCCAACCAAGCCTTCCATACCTCCGGGGTCGATTAATTGGTACCAGACTCGTCTGGGAGGATAAAAGCACTGCTCTGTACATCGGCTGGACACCGCAATTCACTGTATAGGCTCATACGCTCTGATCACCACACTACGATTCTGGAAGGGAGTCGAATGCNGGGGCGCATCCCTCAGATGGGATTGCTTAACACCCAAAGAGTTCACCCTTCATCCTTTATGTAAAATGTAGAGCCCAAAGGAAATGCAGGATATTAATTTATACTTTGCTTCGTCAAGTGCCGACCAAATGGAGGCGATTGATATGAAATTGCCGTATTTCGAAGCTTTTCAAGATACCCTGAATAATTTTGAATACGTGGAGGAGCATTTTTTGTGAAGCTGTTACAAATTGATTACTTCATTGTACTCGTTTTTTTCCAATTAACCACCTACATTGCCACGAAATTCTTTTGAATGGTCACATAATTAGAGAGCTATAAGGTAACCTAAGAAGTAGGCAAAGGTTCGAATCTGCAGTCATAAGGACTTTAGAAGTAATTCGGCCGGTAAGAGAAGTATATAACACCGATTTACTTCCGAATTTGCCGTCACTTACTTTTTATTAATTCTTGCTTGATGGGATTCGAGCCAGTGGCTCGCTTCGTTGACAAATAGCGCTTTTACGCGATAGTCGCCATATAGCAAAGGTCTCAAACATCTCCAAAAGATGAACTTCTCGAATATTCTTTTTTTTGGTTCTTTTTGTGATCTATGATTTATCAAAGAACCCAAATTACTTGAGCCTTCAGCCCTTTTGTTCTAATACAATGGATGTAGTCGAAAAATGCTAGAGAAGTTCATAGATCAGACGTTTCCAGGGGCGACGAGGATCTTCGTCTCGTCGGGGTTCCTCGCTTACGGGGAAACAATGCCAAGTTCTAGCCGTAATGTGACGCTCTGACACTTTCCTTCATCTATAGCAACAGATGAGCATATATAGATATGCAGGGGGTGGATGCAATGAGGTGTCGATATATCCAACCAGTAAGACCCTGGATGCCGCCGGAATCATTGCACCGATTGATGGACGGCTGCCAAATGTGAGGCTTCCAGAATTTCTTCTGAATGACAGTAGAAATTCAGAATCGCATCAATACAGTAGTTGATTGGGCAGAAGTATCTATCAATATTATCCGATATTGAGCAAAATGATTTGGGATCGTCTCTAGTACGCATTGGAATCTTTCTGAAGAAAGCCG